TATGCTCCCATCATATGTCACCAGGCCTTCACCACAGGCGGCTACCTGGTCTTGACTTTCAATATCCAAAACTCGCTTGTCCATTCCTCAGCTTCAGATACTTGGTTATAATATCGAGAAACAGACTCATACACTGTGCAAGAGGGAAACTGCTCTGACCACTGTGGTACCAGCTGTCAGAGTCACAGACCCTGAGTACCAGGTTGTGTTTTGCAGTAGTTGTGATGCCAGCATTGAATAAGCAGCTCTTGTGCCTGAGGCTGGGTCTTTAGAGAAGCTAGTTCCCTACCCTAAAAGAAACCCAGGTTGCTTGAGGGAAACAATTGCTAGGAAATCTGAGACAGAAAGCGCCTAAGATAAGTGCGTGACACACCAGAACACAATTACCCAGGCTTGCACAGGGCCTGCTGGCCAAAGACGGGACTGTGTGAGCATTGGTAAGAGTCTCTATGCGGGATGGAAACTCAACAGGGAGCTTGAATCTATTCCTCCATAGTAACCCAAACTACCAGTCCCACTCCTGCCTGGTAACTGCCAGAGAATGCTAGTAAACAAACTCATTCTCTTAAACAGGTGTTAAGAGACAGATGTAAGTATCTGGCCTCTCCCTACCCCTGTGACTTGAACCACTGGGTAACCCAATAGGAAATAGGAAATTTCTCTTTATAAAAATCAGTGAGAAACTGTAAAAGGAATGACAGAATTAGATTGTCAGCTTGTGTGTTCACTAGTGGATTTACATATCGATCATCATTTTACCTGTGGACCTTTGATGGTTTTTATTGAACCAAATAGTGGACTCACAGGCAAATCTTTAGTTAATTATATGTGTGTTCAAGTCCCATTGGAGGTTCCAGGCATCATGAATCAGATAATTGGGCTGGGTTTATAAAGGTTGAATTAATAGTCAGGTGGTGCTGCTGACTTACCCTGAGTCATTATTGACAAACCACCTTCTCCAAATTACCTGTCTCTGAAGCAGATAATAGGTACCTACCTACCTCTTAAGAGTTTCTTGGGTTTTCTGCTTCTGAAGTCAGGTGCTAGATAGCTATTAAAATGCTTTGAAAACTGTAAAATGAAAACTCTCAGAATGCACTGTAGAGAAGCCAGATGTTTTTAAACAGTGTCTTGGGAAAGCACACGAAGTACCCCAAACCTCTAATTATCCTCCTCAGTGCGTAGTTGAGAAAACTGTCTAGATGGATGGTGACACTCCTGTCACTGTTGATGTTTTTCTCTAGCAGATGATTGGTTTGGGGACTTAAGCATTCAGAATGCTGTAGGCTGAGAATATTAAAGGAAAATTGCCTTTCTTCATAGTTTCCTGCCAGTTGTAAGCAGGAACCTTCATGGGGTTGAAGTTTTGGTTTAACCACCAGAGCCTGGGGATTTTAATTGTGGTTCCCCATGTCTAAAATTTACTTCCTCTCCGTGGTCTGTGCAAACCTATTTGACCTTTCAGGCTGTGGTTTCGCTTCCTCGTTTTTTGTGGAATTGTTTCCTCCACTGGTAGAGTTTATGTAAGGCACAGTGTTTTGGAGTAAATTAAAAGAAAACACCAGTAAATAAAATAATCTTTCCAAGTGGTAGCTAAAATTATCTTCTTGGGACTACCTAACAAATTTCTCAAGCAGTAATTTGTAAAGTCCTTTTAAGGGGAATGTTAGGCATTGAGGTTGAGTATCTGCAGTCTGCTTTGAGGAAATTGAGGAAGAGAGAGCAGATACCCCTGCAGCCTTATAGCAAAAATAAGTACTGCTGAAAGATAGGGCAAAAAGTGGCCTAACCCAGTTGTTTTTAACATGGGTGTGACTTTTCATGCCTACCTGGTGACTCACAGAAGTCCATGTGAATCAGGTAATCTGCCTGTAATCTGGCTGCCTTTCAGGTAGTCCTGATCCAATTTTACAGTAAATGATGATATGTGAGGAATGAAAAGAACAATGAAAAACCAACTATGGGTGAAAAGAGAGATAAAGTTAACTTGGTATCAGAATTATGAACTGCCTTAATGAATGATGATGGCCTTGGGCACAAAGCACATCAGGTTTTGAGCACAGTGGAAAGCTAAGCAGCAGAGGTGGGGCTGCAATGAGGAGGAGGGGTGGGATTGGCCCCTGCACTTGCCCTAGGGTCTTCTCTGCCTCTTTGCCTGGAACTCAGGACATATCAGTTTCCTTATCTGTGACATGGAGATGTCCACTTACCTCAGAGGTGTTGTGACAGTGGAGTGAAATAGTGCTGTGTTTTATCAAATCTTAGATGCCATCAGTTAGAAGACACACCCTTGCTTTGTACCGCTACAAAGAAGAAATGCTCCCAGTGAAACCGACTTGGTTTCAAGAATGATGCACCTGAGCTCCAGGGCCACTGAAGTACAGTGGGCAGGTTGGGTTTAAAGACTAATAAAATGCAACGTGTTGCTTGTGAAAGCAGTTTGCCATGTAATCCTCAGGAGTCATATTTAATCTTGATTTTGTCAGTCTGGGAAATGAAGCAGACTTGTTAGGAGTAAATACCAACGAGGAAGCACCAGGCAGACTGGAAAGACAGCAGCCAGCTACAAGGAGGAAGAGAGAGAGAGTGAGCTCTGTTGGTTTTCATTCATAGGATACTCACTGCTGGCCGCAGGAGCTCCTCACACCAGTTAGTTTTCCAGATGTAGGAAGGTGTGTCTGGTTAGGAAATTCTTGTTCTCAGTGAAAGTTGATTTTTACTAATTTTCTTTCAGATTGTTTTGGGGAGGGGCTGTCAGGTGTCCTCCTTTGTAAACTGTCTGGACCAACCTCTGTTGTATGCTTTTTTTAACTTAGAACTTAACGGCCCTTGGTTAACTGGAGTCATTGTGGACACAGATGTCAGGAAAGCTTGGGTAGCACCTAGGCACCACTGGAAACAATGCAGTCCCCGTATCACTTTCACAGGCTGTTGGGTATTGAAAAAGAACGTAGTCTTGTGTGGTGTTCATTTTAGACTTCCTCTGATCTTTGTTGACATTATTTTATACTCAAAAATGTGTTTTGCTCACAGTGTGGGTTCCTTCCCATAGCTGTACATAAGAAAAAATGGTGGCATTGTTAACCTGTGTCTACCTTCCCGTTGGTGCAGTGGAGCATTTAATTAGCCACCGATGAGGATTTTAAGAAAAAGTTTATGTCTTAGTAAAGCACCAGATTTAGCAGTTTGCTCTAACAACAACACTGAAAGTTCAGATTACTCCAGATGAATGTTTTACAGAGAATTAAGTCCCTGTTAAAAATAAGATGTAAAAATCTTTATGCCCAAGTAGAGATGAGCCAAAAAGTAAAATATTTTAGACTCTGTGGCTCCTTATCCATCTCATAGTCTTGCTTTGTTTTTGTTTTCTTTTTTTAAAGAGCCCTCTAGAGATGTATAAGTCATTCCTTTCTAGAGAGCCCTCCATGCTGCAGCAGGCCACAGACTGTAGTTTGGAGACCCTATTCTGTTAGAAGATCCTTATCATGGTCAGGTATCCTTGGACAACTGGCTGACTCTAGAGCCAGGATAAGAAGGCAGAAGAGAAGCTTGGCATGATGGTGCACCCCTGTAATCCCAACACTAGGAAGGCTGAGGCAGGAGGATCACTGCAAGTTCAAGGCTAGTCTGGGCTATGTAGTGAGTTCAAGGCCAGCCTGAACTACATAGCGAGGCTCTGTCTCAAAAAAAAGAAAGAAAATGCAACAGGAGCCTGAAGCTTCCAGTAGTGCCAGAAAGTGAGGAGGTGTTGGAGAAAAGAAGATGATGGGGACCAGCAGAAGGAACTAGCAGTCATCTTGGGAGAGCCCCCAGTGGGAAAAGCTAGAACAGTTTGAGCCACAAAATAAATCGTGGTAGTACTGGATTGTAATCCACAGAACAAACATCCATTAGTCCATGGCTGTGTAAACAATGGAATAAAGTAATTGAAGTCTTTCTTACAGAAGAATTCTAAAGTGTAGAAGGATCATTTTTTTAAAAAATCACAGTACTGACTGCTGTATGGAAGACGTACAGACAAATGCTCAAGAGTATCTACCCCACTCCTAATATGTGTAATTATCATAGTAATTATCTTTGACATGTGTGCAAACTCTTTTATCAGTCCTCCCTCCAGGAAGTGTCGCTTATTTCCCTTCTCTCTGGGTGTGCACTGGACTTTGGGACTTGCTCCTAAAATAGAGTCTGCTTTCCAGTGGTGAGACCACCTAGACCACACGGTCAAAGTTCACCCCTCCAAGAGTAAGTCACATGCTCTGATCTGACACAAAAACAAGGGCGGTTCACCTGGTGATGCTATAGATTCTTCCCAAATATCTGTAATCTCACTACGATTCTACAAAAAAACCAGACCATCCAGTTATTCCACAAAATAACTGACAGATACTATTAAGAAATGTCAAAGTGCCGGGCATGGTGGTGCACGCCTATAATCCCAGCATTCAAGAGGCTGAGGCAGGAGGATCCCTGCAAGTTCAAGACCAACCTGGGCTATATAGTGAGGTCCAGGTCAGTCTCAACTACATAGTGAGACCCTGTCTCAAAAAAAAAGAAATGTCAAAATTGTGAAACACAAGGAAAGACTGTAAAACTGTCAGAGATTAGAGCAGACTAGGACCATGATGTCTAAATGTGACAATGGTAGCCTGCGTTGGACCTTAGCGACTGAAAAGGACTTAAACATTAAAATCCGAATAAAGTCTGAAATACACTTGATAGTGTTTTGTTTTGTTTTTTCCCCTTGGTAGCAGGGATTGAACTCAGGACCTTGAGCTTGCCAGGCAGATGCGGTGCCACTGAGCTACATCCCCACCCCAAAAGAAAATGTTTTTTTAAAAGTACCCAACTTCTTGTCTTGAATTGATCATCAGCTTTTTCTTGAGCAGTTAAGCCTTATTTTAACTTTTAGTCTCATTTATATCTAGAAGAAAACATATGAGTTTGGTAACTGATGTTGATTTGGAATGTACTTGTTTTCAATACTGTTTTTCTTTTTCCAGGGGAGGCGCCTGATGCAGAAGTTCCCTCAATGTTTGTGATCCTGTCTGTGTGCAGTTTAATGATATTAATAGTGTTAATTGCAAATTGTGTTTCCTGCTGTAAGGACCCAGAAATAGATTTTAAGGTGAGCACAGATTGTGGGAGTATTTGAAATCATTTTGTGACACGCTTATCTGTCATACAGTGGCCTTATATCCCAACTTCCTGGGAGCCAGGGTCAGTGTAATTTTTTCTTTTTCTTTTTCTTTTTTGTGCTGGGGATCTAACTTGGGACCTTTTACTTACAAGGCAGGCGGTTGAACCACTGAGCTAAATCCCTGGCCTAGGGTCAGTATAGTAAATGTCTTCTGCCCTATGAAGCAGTGAACACTGCAGACCATGCAGTCTCTGTGACAGCTACCCAACCCTCAGCTCTGCCATTGTACTGCATCAAACAGATACTGTACTTTGTTAACACACGGTCATAGCTTTGTGCCAGTAAAATTTGGTTTACAAATGGGTGATTTGGATTTGGCTCACTGTCTGTAGTTTGCCAGCCCTGCCTTAGAACATCTCTGACAAAAGGCACCTTCTGTGATGAGTTGTAAGCTTTTGTTGAGCGAGGACTACAGCGTGATGATCCATTTCACTTGCCGAAAAAGGAGGGAGGGGAGGCTGATTTTGTGTTTTTCCCAACTTTTCTAGGCTAGTGAATTTGTGGTCATGAGATCACTGAGATGAGTTCCCCTATGTTTTGTATATGAGGAAGAGTATTGAAACCTCAAGTTTAATCTTGAAACTTTGAGTTTCCCAAAGAGAAGAGTGCTGGGTGGTAATTTAGCTCAGTGGTACCATGGCCTGCCTCACAAGCAGAAAGTCCCAAGTTCAATCCCTGGTACCAAAAAAAAAAAAAGCCATGAGGGCCAGGGATTTAGCTCAGTGGTTCTGCCGCCTGCCTTGCAAGCACAAAGACCCGAGTTCGATCCCTGGTACCGGAGGAAAAAAAAAAAAAAGCCATGAAGGAGAAGAATGCCACTAACTGTAAAATCCTGGTCCAGGAAGGGATAACGAGGAGCTGGCTTTGTTGATGGACTCTACCAGTAAACCAGCTGGAAACTCCTACCCTAGAAAAAGCTGGCCTATATTTAGGCTCTGTATATACTTGTTAAAAAATAGTACCTGGGGAGAAACATGAGTGCCTACATGCAGAGAAGATGGCCTTCATGTGTATTCAGGACAAGCCCAGGTGTCACTGGCTCAATTTGGAAAACAAAATTTTCTCCTTGCCAAAACCTCCTTTTGGTTGGGCATATAGACCTGGTTTTTAGTTTTGATTGTATGCTGGCTTTATCCACAGTCTGGTGGTAGCTCTGAGGACTTTTTAAAATGTGCTGTCCTCAGGCCCAACACAGTGTCTCCATTAAAGATCAAGGAAAGGGCTGCAGGCAGGACTCACCAGCATAGGCCACAGTCATGAGTTGGCCTGTCTCCATGGCGGGTTGGGGGGTGCCTTTCTGTACAGTGCCAGCCCCTGGGTATTCACATCACTGTTGACATTCCTCTGGACACTTACTGACCACCCTACTGGGCAAAAGTGTAGGCAGAAAATCTGTGTCCCTTTACCGTCAGTCTTGCTGCGGTACTTTACACATTTGAAATCTGGCCATTTTGTGACAAAGATAAAGATAAATGTGGCTGACACCGAAGTCGGTCTCCTCTCATGTTTTGTGATACCTCATACTTGCCTTCCTTGTCCTCACGTTTTTGAATGTTATTATTGAATGAGGAAGGTGATTGTGACTTAATGTCAAGGCTGAGAACTTGTATTGTTTTCCAAAGTGCCCAGGTGATTCTGTTGCCGGGCCCCTCCACTCAAGTTCATGTGACTCAATGAGATTGTTTATTGCCATCTGTGACTCCTTGGGTTCCTTTGGATTTAGAGCTCTGCAGTTTTAGAGCTGAACTATCCCAGGGAAGTCACTTGCAACCAGGAAGCTACAGTCTGGTAGAGGGACTTGCCCAAGTTCATCCAGCAAGCGACTGGTGTAGCTGTAAGAGTGAACCAGCTGCACCTCATTTTTATTATTGTTTGCATGGTATCACCTCTACTGTCAGGGTTTAAATAGTGTTATTTTTAAATTAGGCGTGATGGACACAGTCCTTTTAATGAGAGAACCTTTAGGAATGTCCAAAATGAAAACTGAACAGTATCTTTTGTTCAGAAATGCCTTCACAGACTGAGGTTACAGTGTCTCATTTTTCCTGCCTTCCCCCCATCAAATAGTAAGTAATGTGCTTTAATGCTTTCAAGAACATACATAACAGTGTCTTCTCACATGTGTCAAAAACATAAATGTCAGAGAATTCCACCATTGTTAATTTTTAGTTTCTTCTTGTATTGGGTAGGGGCTAAGGGAAGTTGTTAAAAAAAAGGAGAAGAAGGATGTTGGTAGAAGAATGCAAAAGAGTCATGTCCACTTATCTGTTCTCAGCTTTGATATGGTGCCCAGAGAGGTGATACTCGGTAGTTATCTAAACAGACCAACAACTTGGTAATCTAATGTATTTATCTTAAATTTACCTAGACCCTGAGGAACATCCACATCAAATCTCAAGAGAGATTTTGTACCCTACAGTTTTTTTCTTTTAAAGGTTCCACAATCAATTTGTGCATCTTCATTTTTAAACTTAACCATCTTTAGAAAATTGGATGCTCTTTTATGTTTATTACACTTAGATGCCACACAGTTCTGTGGAGTTTTATTTTTTGTTTGGGAGGAGGGGAGTACTAGGCATTGAAACTCAGGGCCTCACATATGCTGGGCAAGTATTCTACCATTGAGCTATACATCCCCCCAGCCCTACATACCACACGGTTTACACTGGTCTTAATTTTTCTACCTGGTGTTATGTTTTTTGTTGCTTTGGTTTGGTTTTTGAGACAGAGTCTCACTATGTAGTTCAGGCTGACTTTGAACTCACTGTGTAGCCCAAGTGTGCCTTGAACTCACATGCTCCTCCCTCAGCCTCCTAAGTGCTGCAATTACAGGTGCACGCCACCATACCCAGCCCGATGTTGTAGTTTTTCCATTGTTACTCTTTCTAAAAAAATGGGACTTGCTTAAAAATATTTTTTCTGAGTCTTGGAACTGTCTTTTTTATTTTGATAGAAATCACATAGCAATTTTAAAATGCATATAAAATTTTAAAATATCAGTTTTGATTCAATATGCAGAGACTTGTGAAACTAAATAATAAAGCAGTGGTGCAAGCTCTTACAATTTAAAAATAAACTTTTGAATGTGAAAGAGTATTTCTGTTTTAAGTTCATGATCATTTTAGAAAATTCTGCCTTTAAATTCAACCTATCAGTTTTAAAAGTTATATCAAATATGTGCAATTTATTTTCAAATCTTATTTATTCTGCTCTTTGGAATTTCTATTTGAAGTACAAGTTGCAGGGAAAATTATAGCATTGTGCTCCAAATGAGTGAATTGTCCTACTTTAAATGTTAGGCAGTAATTTTTAATACCTGTTCCCTTTGGTTTTAGGAATTTGAAGATAATTTTGATGATGAGATAGATTTCACACCACCAGCAGAAGACACCCCATCTGTCCAGTCCCCAGCAGAAGTCTTTACACTTTCAGTACCAAATATCTCGCTCCCAGCTCCATCACAGTTCCAGCCTTCTGTGGGTAAGACCTGATGTCCTAACGTAAACTTTTCATGAATTACTTCTGAGGAGTGAGATAGGAGCAAACCTTGTGTTCATAAAATAGCAGCTACCTGTCTTCTCTGCTAGTCTGTTTCCCTGTCTTTTGCTCCAGTGAAGCTGTTTTCTAGTGGTCAGGCCCATCACATTTCCTGCAGAAGCTATCTTGCCCTTGCTGGCCCCAGAGTCTGACACAGGAATGAGACTGGCCTCTCTGACACACAGGCCCTGAACCCCTAACAGAGCTCCTAGCCTGTCTACCAGCTCTGGACTTTGATTGTCTTGCTAGAAGATATTGCTGTCTCCTCTGGGATGTGCTGTGTAGGGGAAGAGCGGTGTATTAAATATGTTAATAAGATTGGCTTCTTAAAGTAGAGGTCTGATTGGATGTTAATTGATTCTTTGTTATAAAATATGACTACCCTGTAAAATATGTACACACCTGTAATCCCAGCACTCTGGAGGCTGAGGCAGGAGGATTGCCATGAATGGAAGCCCAGCCTGGGAGGCTTAGTGAGACCCTGTCTCAAAAAAAAGGAATATTACTAATAGTGGTTCAAGAAGGGAATTTTTCCAAGACTATTACAAGAAGACTGTTTCTAATCTTTATAAGCACAGATCCTGCTTTTTGTGGTACCATGTACACAGTGGAGGGGCGTTCAGGGCAGTATAAGCCCAAGGAGATTAGTCTGCTATAGGCATGCATAACTAAAAGAAATTGTAAGGTGAAGCATGATTCTGCTGGTGCCTCTCATGTAAAGTATCTGTCAAGTCAGATGTATTTGATGTTCGTAGGTTTTACAACATTTAAAAGTAATTGTGTGTAGTATTTCGCTTTAATTTCTGCAAGTAACATTAACCTAACTTGAGCTGATGAGGGAAGTTTGAAAGGAGCCCACTCTGTCCTTGGAACAACTTCAAGTGCATTCATCTCTAAACTGAACTGCTTTATTATTGCTTATTTGATAATTTGCTTTCCTGGTACTTAAGAACAGCCCTGAAAGGCTGCTTGGAACTTTTACAGGCCTTTTTACCCCTCTGAGTTAATTCAAGTGGTAGAATCCCAGTTCAGATCAGCATCAGTAGGAAAGAGACCCAAACCATGAGAAGAGTACAGATAATGCTGACCTTGGAGACAGCAAAGTCAGGGCCTTCAGCTCTGCTGGCGCTCCATGTCCATTGCTCATGTTCCCTTCCCTTTGTGTGTCAGCTTGTCTGCCAAGGGCCTTATCTCTTCTGTCACAAGCATGGGTGCTGGCAGGTCCAGGTCTATCTCCTTGTAATTTTGCAACTAGGAAGGAAAGGTGCTTCTCTGTCCTTCGATCGGCAGGGAAAGACATTCTGGTTGGCCTCTGCCATCCTTTAGGCTGAACATGAGACAGGTTAGAGACTAGCAGCTTCTCTTCAGGATCTGTCAGGATAGATAGGAACACAGGCAGAGGTTCCATGAGAGAACTTGTTAGCAAGCTGGGTAGCCATTCTGACTTTATCTGTATCTGCCCTTCTTTCTGTTGTTTTTTGGTACGGGGATCGAACTCCGTTCCCTGCACTTGCAAGACAGGCGGTGGAACAACTGAGCTAAATCCCCAGCCCCCCTTCTTTCTGTTTTACTGAAGCCTTCATTCTTAATAGGAAGAAATCACTTTAAATTTCTCTGGTTAGAATATGCAAAGTATTTTTTATCATCTCAGGATAGATAAGGCCTTTCCATGCATGACACTAAGCCTAAAAGCCATAAAAGAAAATATTGCCAAATCTAATTCATGAAATGAAATATTCTGCATGGGAAAATGTGCCATTGCCAATTTGACATAGTAGCAAAGAGTATTTGTAAACTCAGAAAATTGTTATGTATTAAGAGTACACACAAATGCATAGGGAAAAGAGTAATACTTACTAGAAATGATAAGCTGAGGATATGTACGAAGAAAATCATGGGAAGAAATTCAAATGGCCAATAAATGGGATAACGTCATTATTAATTAAAGAAATGCAAGCTTCAAATAAGATAAGTCATGAGGAAAAGAAGTAACACTAAGGTTGGGTATGCTGCACGTTTCTCTGGACGTTGAGGTGACAGGATCACTTGAGCCGAAGAATTCGAGACCAATCTGGGCAACACAGAGAGATCATCTCAAAAAAAAAAAAAGAAAAGAAAAGAAAAAACACCAAGCACCAGGTAGTGATTGGGGAGTATCTGGTTTGTTTCTAACTTTTTGTGTTAAAAATAAAGCTTTTATCAAAGTTATCTTGAACATTGTTGTTACACTAATATATTTGTAGAATATATCTCTCGAAGGAGTCAAATAGTGTATATTCTTAGAATATTAATGGATATTACCAGTTTACCCTTCTCAGAAATTGTATCATTATTTCTGCCAGTTGGGCATCAATGGTTTGTGCTATTGCTTATGAAGCTAAGTTAGTATCAGTTCAAACTAGATTGTTATAATTTAGGATGTTAACTATAATTCCCATGGTAACCACAGAAGTACACAGAAGAAAATCAAATGGCACACTAAAAAAAACCCAGTCACATACATACAAAAATAGATTTTTTTGATGAACAGGTTTCCTTATTTTAATATAGTCAACAGTCTTGTTAGAAGTAAAAATTTACTAGTCTTTTAGAGTTCTAACTTTTAAGGTATTTGTATTTAAAAAAAACAGTTTTTGTACCTTAAGAAATGTTTCCCTATTCTGTGATCAAAACACCTTCTTTCTGTCCTTTCTTGTGTGTGTGTGTGAGTGTGTGTGTGTGGTGTGTGTGTAGTCATTGTATTGGTGCGTGGGATTGAAACCAGGGCTTCACGCACACTAGAGATCCTACCTCTTTATTTTTTAATGTTGTACAGTTTTGCTTTGACTTTGAGTCCATAACTCACCATGAGTTGATCTTTGAGTATGGGAATCCAAGTTCAGTTTTCCTTGTGGATTACTGTAATTTTTTCAGCTAACTTTTCATCGGTCCTTCCTTTCCTGTCTGTTTCCATGTTTGTTGCGCTGTTCTAGACTTTCTGTTTTCTGTTGTTAATCTGTTGTTAATCTGTGTGTTAGTCAGCTCTTGGTTATTGTGACAAATACTGATAAACAGTTTAAAGGAGGGTTTATTTTGGTCCACAGTTGCAGAGGTTTCAGTCTGTGGTCACCCCTGGCACCATTGTATTCATGCCTGTTGTGAGGCAGAAACATCACTGTGGAAGGGTGTGGCAGAAAGCTGCTTACATCATGGTGGCCAGGAAGCAGGGAGAAAGGGAAAGAGCCAGAGAGGAAGGAGCCAGGGAGGAGATACATCCCTGAGAGGAACACAACAGTGACCCACTTCCTCTAAGTGGCCCCACTTCTTAATAGCCCTTTAGTGTTGAATTCTGTGGGTTAATCCAGTGATGAAGGTAGCGCCCTCATGATTTTATAACCTCTCAAGCCCCACCTCTGAACATTGTTGCATTGAGAATAAGCCTTCTTTGGGGGATGCTTCTTATTTAAACTAACAATCTAGGGCCCAGGATTTAGCTCAGTGGTTCCGCCACCTCCCTTGCAAGCATAAGGACCTGATTTCGATCCCCATACCAAAAAAAGAATAACTAACAATCTGTTCTTTGTGGCTGTACCACTGTGTTAATGATAATAACTTCACTATAACATGTGATTTGCTGTTTCCTTTTGTTGCTGTGCTTTGTTGTTTTTGGTTGTGTTTTTTTTTTTTTTTTTTTTTGTACCGGGGATTGAACTTGGGTCCTTGCGCTTGCAAGGCAGGCCACTGAACCACTGAGGTTCAGTGCCTCAGTGGCACTAAACTCAGTGGCAACCCTAAATGCCGGCTTGCTTGTGCTTTTGCTGGGTTGCTTGTGCTTTTGCCAAGTTGCTTGTGCTTTTGATGCTGTATTTAAGAGACCATTGCCTGGCAGGGATTTAGCTCAGTGGTTCTGCCACCTGCCTTGCAAGCTCAAGTTCCTGAGTTCCATTCCCGGTACCAAAAAAAGAGAGAGAGAGACAGAGAGAGAGAGAGAGAGAGACCATTGCCAAATCCAAGATCCTGAAGATTTGCCCCTGTGTTGTCTTTATGGTTTTAGCTCCTAAATTTAGTTCTTTCACCTGTTTTTTGTTTTTTCTTTTTAATGTAGTATAGGGTAAGGATCTAGTTTAATTCTTTTACATATGGCTATCCAGTTTTCTGAATAACAGTGTTTGGAGACACTCTGAGTTGTATTGACTGATATGCCTCTCTTTATGCTAATACTACTCTATTTTGATTACTGTCATTTTAGTTTTGTAGTAGAAATAGAGAAGTGTGGGTCCTACAACTTTGTTTTTCTTTTCAAAAAAATTTTTTGTTCGAGATCCTTTGTAGTTCATATGAATCGGATTAGCATTTCTAATTATTATTTCAGCAGAACAAGCTACTAGAATTTTGATATGAATTATTACTATTTTGTTTTATTATTTTGATTCCTTTTCATTGCCTTTTGAATATATCTTTAGGTATTTTCCTAGTGGTTACAATAAAGATTATACGTAACCTCTTGCATTTATAACAGTTGGGTTCCCATTGATAGCAGTTTGCCACAAGAAAACTCTAGTCCTGTACAGTTCATTCCTTCCCTTTACATTGTCACAAATTACATCTTCATTTGTTTTGTGTCCATTAACATGGATTTATAATTTCTAAAGCATTTTGGTGGGGGGGTACTGGGGATCAAACGCATGGCCTTGCATTTGCACTGCACCACTGAGCTAAATCCATTTTAAAACATTTTGGAAATAAAATATACTACAATAGGATAATATTGGCTGTTCTGTTTACCGGTTTAGTTATGCATACTGGAGATCTTTATTTCTTCAGGCAGCTTGAGTTACTGTTTGCTGTCCTTTTGTTTCATCCCTCAGTGACATTTTGTTTTGGGACAGGTGTATTGGCTGTAAACCTCCTACACATTCATTCTTCTGAGAATGTTGTAATTTTTCTTTCATTTCTGAAAGAGTTTTTCCAAGACAGTTCTTAGTTCACTGGTCTTTTTGTTGAGTACTTTGTTTTGTGAGCCTGCTACCTTCTGGCCTGCCTATTTTGTTGCCATCATCATTGTTTTCATATGAGTAATGGCTGTTAATCTTATTGAGGATCCCATATATATAATGAATTAATTGCCTTTCTCTTGCTGCTTTTAAGAGTTTATCTCTGGTTTTCTGTAGTTTGGTTTTAATTTGTCTTCTTATGGGGCTCTTTGAGCTTATGTTATTGGACTTTTGTGAGATTTTTGGATGTGTCGATTCATGTCCTCTAGCAGATTTGGGACATTTTCTACCATTGTGACTGCAAATACTTTTGCTCTTATTCTCATCTTCCTTTCAAGACTCCTATTACATCTGTATTGGTCCATTTGATGGTAGAATTACTGGATCAAAAAACAAGGTATTGAAGAATTAAAGAATACACATTCAGAAATATTGTCAATATTAAAACTTATAAGTGCTTATTTGTTTTTACCTTTATTAGCACAAACATTAAGTTTCTATTAGTATTTATATCTTAGATGTTAGATATTTAATGTTTACTTTAGATACTTACATTCTTTTTTTTTTTCCTCGAGACAAGGTCTCACTATGTAGTTGAGACTGCCCTGGAACTCATTATGTAGCCCGGGCTGGTCTCAAACTCACAGTAATCCTCCTGCCTCAGCTTTAGATACTTATATTCTTAATGTTCTTTTTTTCTACAGAAGGTTTAAAGTCTCAAGTTACCCGCCACAGTCTAAACTATATACAGGAAATTGGAAATGGCTGGTTTGGAAAGGTAAAGTGTTCACTTTTATTTTTTTTCCCCTCCTGATTATACAGCTAATTAAGAACCATATCAGTTCACATTCCGTATTCTGTGTAAACATTGCTATATGAATAGAGCTTCTCTCCCTGTTGCTCCCTGTAACCACATGGGAATGTGAGCTCTAGCATTCATGGGTGTGTATGTCTTTTTAGAAGGTTGTCTTGATGCATTTAGGCTTGCTATAATGAAGTGCTACAAACTGAGCAACTAACAAATAATAGGAATGTATTTCTCACCTTCTTGAGACTGGGAAGTCCAAGAGCAAGTTGTGCTGACTGATTTAGTTTCTGGAGCATAAGCTATACTTTCTTGATATGTACATATGTGGTAGAAAGGGCAAGGGAGCTCTCTGGAGGTGCCTTGCTCCTTTTTTTAAAAGATAGGATCTCAGACCAGGCGTGGTAGCACATGCCTGTAATCCTAGTACTCAGGAGGCTGAGGCTGGAGGATCACTGCAAGTTTGAGGCCAGCCTGGACTAGATAGTGGGACCCTGTCTCAAAAAACAAAACAGATAGGGTCTCACTGTGTTGCCCAGGCTGGCTCCAGAATCCTGGGCTCTAAATGTATTCATTATCTCTATGTACAGTTCTAAAGTGCTTTTAAGTGTTATAAGGGCAGCTGGAAGTACAGATCCAGAGTTCAAGAGGTCAGTTCAAGAGGGAGAACTTAGTAATATAGATGATACAGGATTTCAAGTAGCAAGTGTCCTGTAGCAGGAGAGGTCAGCACAGTCGGGAGCCAGCCGGAGAGAGGAGCATTCAGAAAGTGGGCCAACTCCAGGAGGGTCAGTTTTACCTGTAGCAAGTGCTGCAGCTTCTAAAGTGAGCAAGATCAAGATTGGGAGAATGAGGACTCAGCAACATGAAGTCCTTTGTGACCTGGCAGGAAACTGTCTAGGGAATAGCTATGGCACAACCTTGCAAGGTTAAATTTTCAGTGCTGAGAATGGAGCTCAGGGACACTTAGCACTGAGCTGCTTTTTTTTTTTTAAGATCTTTTTTGCTTTGTATTCTGTTAATGTTAGTGGAACTTTGTCCTTCTTTCTCTCTCTCTCTCTCTCT